ATAGGTTTGCCAAGATGAAGAAGAAGAGGAAGAGAAAAGTTTATCATCAATTTTTCTTTTTCTTCTGTTTATCCTTTTTTTCCTTGATCATTTTTCTTACCTTCTTTTCCTGTATTATCGTGAAATTAATTCTGACAGCATTCTACTTGGAATCAACATTTGATCTATAATAGAGCTGAGGTTCGAAGGAGGGAAAAAAGAGGTGATTTGAGAATAAGAGTAAGAACCCTGAATATCGATCACATTTAGATAGGTTCTCATGAAGGGTATTTACTAATAAAAACAAAATTATAAAAAAGATTGATGAATTTATCTTTTCGATGAAGTCGAAACTTTTAAACTGCTTCATTTACCTGATAAAATCATTGTAGTTAAATTGAATTGGTTTGATTGTTTATGTCCACTTTATTTGGACAGATTCCGATCAGTTTCAGATATTATAGTTTTCTTTATTTTGTGACACTCTCTATGTTGTTTTTTGTGGAAAATGTTATTCAAGAGTCTTACCGATCTAATGAATTGTGTCCATAGAAACCATGAACCATGACACTTAATGGTAGGAACAACTCATCCCAATTCCAAAGCCTTGGATTAGGTTTGAGTCTTTTCCTTTTCTATCTCTCTCTTTCTTTTTCTTCTTATTCTCTACTTTCCTCTCTTCTATTTCTTCATCGTCATCATCATCATTCTTCTCACTCTCACTCCCCCTCTTATTCTTATTCTCATTCTCATTCTTATTCTCATCATCTCCCCATTTCTATTTTACTTCTTTCTCTTCATCTTCATCTTCATCCACATTCATTTTCTTCTGAAGCTTTTACCTGATTTATTGCATAGATTTCAAGATTCAGGAGCTTCTCTATTACATTCACTGAACCTCCAAGGAACAGGAGAAAACCTTAAAGAACCTGTAGAAGGAGAAGAAAAAGAGAAGAAGAGTAGAAGAAGGGATGAAGAGAAGATGAAGATGGAGATGGAGAGAAGCGAAGATAATATTTATTTTCCTCTATTTTCTTTCTTTTTATTCTTTTTTTCTTCTGTTTTGCTTCAAGAGTAAAATCTGTTTTCTCAAAGGCTTTTTATTCTTATTCTATTGGTGGAAATAGAGTTAGAATCTCATTTCTCTGTTTCTTTTCTCGATGGAGAGAAAAAACTTATTTCACTTCATGTATCATGTTCTCTTCAATTCTCTTTTCATTTCATGTTTTTCCATTTCTTTTTCTCATTATTCTCTCTTTTCATCTTCATCTTCATCTTCATCTTCTTCTCCTTATTCATTTCTATTCCTCTTTCTCTCTCAACTCTTGGACTGAGTTCCAGTTCCTGTTCCTTTTATTTTATTGTTTCTCTTTCATGATACACATTCATTTATAGAATAGAAAGTAAATCAGAACTTCTGTTCTCTGACCGGAAATGAATTTCCATTATCAAACGAACTAGAAAATAATAATCAAAAGATTCTTCCTTCATCATAAGCAAAATCGAATACCCAAAGGTGACCAATTCGAAAAATACTCTAGTATAATCTCAGAGAACAAAATTCACAAACTTATGACCTGTAACCTTTTCTTTCATATTCTTTTCCTGTATTTATGCTAATTTGTTTATGTTAACCTTTCAAAAGAGACAATAAATCATAACGATGGTCATACTTGAAGAACTATAAGTTAGTCTAAGGAAATATTGACCATTCATAAATAAGACAAATTCATATTCCAACCAATAGAAACTACAATTCTCATTCATAATTAACCTGCCATATGACCGACTGCTTAGTTTAGAGAACAAATAATTGTCGCTTCAACGTTTTGACACCCTAATTGTATTTGTATTAGCAAATCGGCTTCCTAACCTAATCTTTAGATTCGAGTAAACTATGAAAAGGGAAACGATCATATGGCCTTAAAGACTTGGAATCGCTTCTCATAGACAGAAAATGTGAAAATGCATCACTAATTTTATCCTGATTATCTGTTCTCTTCTTCATTATTTTCTCAATCATCCATAGTAATTTCATCTTCTTCATCTCAGCATCGTTTTACTTTTCTCTATTCTTTTTTTTGTCACCAAGAAAAAATCGATGGTCTTTTTTGTGATTACATAAAAGTCTCTTTATTTTTGTCAATGTCTTCTCACGATTCCAATGTATGTAACCTGAAATAACCAAATTTGTGACCAGAAAAAAGGTAACAATAAAAACCTATACGATAAAAAGAAAAACAGAAAAAAAGAAAAAAAGAAAGAGAGCTGGAGAGAGAAAGAGAGAGAGAGAGAGAAGAGGAAAGAAAAGAAAAGAATAAGATAAAAAGAGGAAGAAGATGGAGAAAGAGAAAGAGAAAGAGATGAGGTAAAGAAGAGAAAGAATAAATTTGGTAGTCTCTCGATTGGAAGGAGGAGAGAAGATGAAAAGAGAGAAGGAGGGAAAGAGATTACGAATAACCAGTAACCAGAAATTGAGGGAATCTCATTGTTACACATGAAAATGTCTTCGAATAACAGATTATAAACAATCTGCTTCCATTCTCATTGTTTATCAATAAGAAAATAAATTCGAAGGTAAAGTTCTGACCAATTGACAAGGCGAATAAAATTGTTACAAAATGAATAAAATCTGACCTTTTTATTAAAGAATCAATGTTAATATCAAAGCTCAGGCATGAAAATTGGAGAAACAACCAACGGGAAGATCCAATCAGAAAAATCGAAACGATTATCAAATGAACCGTTAGTTTCAATTCTCAACAAAACTTATTTATAGTTCAATCACTTGACGATAAATCATGTAAATTGAAATTCTTGAATCAAATGATTCATATTGTTTTTATTACTTTCCACTGATTGTGATTAACTCACCATTTTAAATTGGAAATACTTTTCATATATTAATAGATTCGAGTGAGAAAATGATTCTAGTGGAAACCATGATGATAATGGAGGTGGTAATGATCGGTGGTTGAGTGGATGAAATTGGAGATGAAGTGAAATCATGATCATGAGTTTCATGGTTCTTTGTGTTGATCGATGCAAATTCTGAATAATATTTTCAAAATTATTCTTTTTCTTAAAATTCTTTCAGAGTCAATTTTCAAAACTTTGTTTAATAAGAATAATAAAAAATTCTCAATGAAATTAGAGAAAAATTTCAAATCTTAAATTCTCAATCTTGTTTCGGCTCAGAATTTTTTCTTCCTCATCATCATAATAGAATTGAAAATTTCTCTTTTTCTTGAAATGTATTAGTAGATGAAATTCTCATGAATGAAAAAAAAATTCGATTACATTAAAACTCCATTTACGAATATCTTTACGTTATCTTCCCTTTTTTATTCGATTTTTTCACCTTGGAAAAAGGCAAAAGGTCATAATGGTGATGACGAAGATAACCTACTCCTCCTATTCTAGTTTCTTATCTATAGAACATAATTTTATGATTATATTGTGGCGAAGAAAATTTTCTCTTATTTTTTATGATTATTTGACTGAGGAAGAAAATAATAAACATGAAATTGGTGCAATAAACGTAACCTTGACCTTGATTGTATCTTTTTCACGAAAGATGATTGAGAAAATAATGAAGAAGAGAACAGACAATCAGGATAAAATTAGGGCTGCATTTTCACATTTCTGTCTATGAGAACACCTTTGGAACCTTTGGAACCTTTTTTTTGCTTTTTTGCTTTTTTCCTCTTTTTCTTTATTGCTCTCCGCTTATTATTAGTTTCTATTTTTACTCATTTATAAACACTCGTTCAACTCGGTGTGTTATTGTTACTTTTGAGCTAAATTGGTACCTTAGCTTTTATAATGGTTCCTTTTTAAGGTGCAAAGGGAGAGAAAACCGGTCGTAATGAGATGATTGTTTGGATAGAAAGATAAAGAGATTGACCTTTGTAGGAGAACTGACCACAAGTGGAACCGATTTAGATCTAAGAAGATGCAAAATATTTAGATTAAAATGAAAGGATCAAGAATAAACAATCGATGTTTACCTGGGTGAGAGATCGAAAGGATAATCAATCTAATTATCTAAATACTAATTAGTGTTTCAATCGTACAATCGTTCAATCATATGCGAATTCTGAGCCTTGAGCCATTCGATTGATACCAATGATTCCAAGTACTTAGATAGACTTGACACCTTCGAGTAGCAATAGTGACACAATTGTCCACAAACGAAAGCATTTCGACTTATCAGTAAATTAGAAAATAGAAAATATATATCAGAATAATATTTTCTATTTGTTTATCCTTTTCTTCTGTATATTAACAACTTTGAGTTTCTATTGGAGAGAAAAATGGATTTACTTTCTTACTACTGGTCAATATTTTCCCTTATGACTATTGTACTACAACAATACTTATGATGATTTAGTGTATTGAAAAGTGCCGGAGGGCAGATGAATAGATTAACATAAAAATTAGCATAAATCTGAACAGAGAGTTTCTTGTTAACCCATTGAAAGTGTTGTACAAATTGACCAATTGTCCGTCAATGTGAGTAGTTGATAGTAAGTTCATTAACTTAATTAGTAAATTGAAAAAGATTTTGTTTCAGAGAAAAAAAGATGAAAAAGATAAATTGATAAATTTATCATCTCTTTTTCTTTTTTCATTTTCTAAGAAGCTTTTTTATTCGCTTTGGTGATTGTGTTGATAAGAAAACTCATTTCCGGTCAGAGAACAGAAGTTCTGATTTACTTTCTATTCTATAAATGAATGTGTATCATGAAAGAGAAACAATAAAATAACAGGAACAGGAACTCAATGAAAGAGTATCGAGTAAAAGAAAGGGAGAGAGAGAGAAAAATGAATTCTAATAAGAAAGAGAAATGGAAAAAGAATCGAAATTTTGATCACAAGACTAATCATTCTCTCGAAATCAATCAAATGGTTCAATGAGATAGAGATTCTTTAATCAATTCAATGATTAGAATAACTTCATTGTGAAAATCTATATAATTGACTAATTTTTTCGTTCTTTTTTTCAATTATCATTTCAGAACGTAAAAGAGGTCGACAAACATACACCAGATATCAAACCCTCGAACTGGAGAAGGAGTTTCATTATAATCGTTATTTAACTCGACGTCGACGAATCGAAATAGCCAATATCTTATGTCTAACAGAGCGACAAATTAAAATTTGGTTTCAAAATAGACGAATGAAGTGGAAAAAGGAAAATAACAAGAAAGATATGAATTCGGGCGATACCATGACCACAGGAAATGGAACAGGAGGAATAGGCTCAGGTTCTGGAGGAAGTAATAGCAGTGGAGGAGCGGAAATCGGGGGCAGTGTGAGTGGGAGTGCAAATGGACCAAATAATCGAATGGCCACCAATCAATCATAGACAAATAATTCGAGAAAACCAACACCAAGAATCTACATCTTTATTTATACTCTAGGGATTCTTTATATATAAATGAGATAAACAGATAACAAATTCACTGCGAAGGAAAAACCAACCCCAAAACCAAAGAGCCGAAGCCCTTGGAACCTGAAAAAAGAACAGAAAAAAAGTCTCTTTGATTTAATCGATTAAAAACTGCGCCATTCGAATGAGTTGCCAACAATTCACATAGATGGCGGTGTAAATTATTCTAATGAAAGCTAATCTTTAAGAGAATGGGTTAACCGATAGATGGCTCTGTATGTAACATTTTCGATAAAATCGAAGGTGAAAAGAAATGGAAGTCGAAGGGCAAAAGGGGGAGTTCAGAACTTTTTATAAAATTGACCCTCTTGTAAATTGTCATCTAGTTAACTCAAATTCGATGGATGAACCAGTAAGAGAGAATTGATTCCAATCGATTGTAAGATTAATATATTCACATCGAATGAGAATCATTTGGAATCTCATGAGTTAATATTGAGTCGAATTACAGTTACATACAAACTACATAATAACAGAATAATGATAATCTTCATCTGAGAAAACAAATCATCTAATTATCCTAAACTTGTATCATCTTTTCTAACCTATCATCTGATTATCATCATTATCATCCTCATCTTACTCTTTCTTTTGTCAATCCCATCATTTTCCTCTCTCTCTCTCTCTCTATTGAAACTAAAACGACATAATAACACACCAATTGAAAAAGAAAACTCAGCATCTCAATGATTATTTTCTCTTCATTTTGTCTTCATAAGGTTAATGAAGAATTAGAAAAGGAAAAGTTTCCGATGTAAAATTTTGAGGGTCGATAACCACTGGTTCCAGTTTCTTATTCTTGGACCTCAAATTTTGTTGTTCCTTTGTACCTTCAGGGTGATACGTGGCTCCTTGAATAAATCATGATAATGATTAAGGTATGAAGATAATGATGAGAAATTAGTTGAGCGTTTTTTGGGTCTCACTCTCTCTCTCTTCTCTCTCTTGTTATTACATAAATATTATATTATATATACAAAAGTATAGGAAAATATTTTATTAGGTTGAACCTAAGTTGATATTTTGATGGAAGGTTAAAATCAATATGATATTTGATTTTTAAAATTAGAGTTTGAAATTGAAGTTGTTGTTATCATGATGATCATGTAACATAATTTCAATTAAAAGGAAAACCTTTCAATCAGATAATTACAAATTCATTGGGTTAACATTTCAATTAGTATGTTTTTCACGTATTATTTTCAATACCATTTAATTTACTCATCATATCTATTAATAAGTAACATCGATTCTTCATCTTCATTTATTCATTAAACTTTCATAATCTTTTATTTAATAGACAACAAACAACAAACAACAACAATAACAATAACAAATAGAAATAGAAATACAGTCTCTCCAATAAAAGTAAAAGTATTAAGGATAATCACGACCAGGGGCTCGATACTGACCCTACCCAACCCAATTTAACATAACCTAATCTCTGACCTAACCTTAGGTTCAATGTCCTTAAACAGCACGACTTTTAGGTCCATTGATAAGCAACAGAAAACCAATAACACCAGAGGTGTAAATGTGCCAATGTTGTGACCAGAAAAACAAATCAAGAAGAAAAAAAGTTTCTCCATCAAAAATTAACAATCAAAATACTTTTCATTTGCAATTCAATTGGTAATTTAATCAATCTCATCAAGCAGCTCTTCTAATTGCTCAAATATCAACTAGTAATATATAACATACACAATTTACAATCTTAATGATTAATTCAATTTCTTGAATCTCACTTCATCTCATTTCATCTCATCTCATCTCATCTTCCCTGTTATTATGAGGCAAGTAAGAATTGAGTGAGGAAAATGATTATGATACTGAACATGTTTCGATATCGTTTAATTTTATTAATAAACTTTAGATTGGACAATATAATGAATTAAATGAATTACCTGTTATCTTTTGCTATTATTAAATACATAATTCATTGTATTAAATTAGAATGTAAAAAGAGGGAAACATTTATCATAACAGATAGAAAACCCTATATGATTTAAGGACATTCCCTTTCATACCCTTTCCATACCCTCCTTGTTGTTTTTTACACCATCATCATAACCTCATCCATCTAATATCTTCATGAATCAACTTAACTCTCGCTGCAACATATAGATGGCGATGTAAATTTGTTCTAATCGAGTTTTGTTTCAAAGAGAATGGGTTAATCGATAGATGGCTCTGTATGTAACATTTTCGATGAATTCAAAATTCGAATGAAAAATGAAATGAAATTCGAAAAGTAAAATGAAGGTTGGAAACTTGGAACTGTGCGAAATTGTCATCTAATTATCTCAAGTTCGATATTTAGTATAATCATTAAGAAAGAAACTTATTCAAATCGATTGATATTGACCTCGAGCTGCCGCAAGTTCTAAGTGCAAATTAACAGATAATTTTCACTTGAGAAAAAGGAATATCATCTAATTATCCTAAACGAGTATCATAGTTAATAACATATCATGTTCATGATTGTTTCCTCTCCATTTTATCTACATAAGGTTAATGAAGAAAAGGAAAAAGTTTCCTATGTAAAATCTTAAGGGTCGATAACCACTGGTTCCAGTTTCTTATTCTTGGACCTCAAATTTTGTTGTTCCTTTGTACCTTCAGGGTGATACGTGGCTCCTTGAATAAATCATGATAATGATTAAGGTATGAAGATAATGATGAGAAATTAGTTGAGCGTTTTTTGGGTCTCACTCTCTCTCTCTCTCTCTCTCTTGTTATTACATAAATATTATATTATATATACAAAAGTATAGGAAAATATTTTATTAGGTTGAACCTAAGTTGATGTTGTTGTTATTTCATCTCATGTTGTTGGTTCACTTTTTTTCCAGTATAAAGAGATTGGTTTGAAATTCAAAGTAATTTATCATCGTCGTATCTGAGTAACTCTCAGCTGAAACTGGCGGTTGGTGAAAAATGAGAAAAATATTATAACAGAACCAGAAGAAAATGAATTGAAACAAGTCAAGGAAAAAGAGTGTTGACTATTTTCAACAATTTTTTTCTTTTCTTTTGTATCTTCATCTTCATCTTCATCTTCTCTCTCTTCCTCTCTCTCAATCTTCCTAAATTCCATACTTTGGATAAAGAAGCATAATGATGATGATGATGATGAAAAATGCATCTATAAAAATGAAGATTCCTCTGAGGAAGAAGATGAAAGCATGAGAATGACAAAAAATGATGAAAACATGATGATGACGATAATGATTCTGTTGATGATTATTATGGTTTCCAATGTAATAACAAAGAGATTCAGTTAGTAGTTGGTTAAAGGTTAGAATTAGTAATTAGACTTGATAGTTTAATTATCATTACTTAACCTGGATGCTAATGATTGTGGTTTTGTCGCTTTAAATTTTTCTCCATATTCATATTCTCAATATTTTAAAAGTAATTCTAAACTTTTTCCTTCATGGTGATTCAGTTTCTCCCCATGATTTACACATATCACATGTTCCCTAATTCATCAACTGATTACGATTCCCTTGATTGCTCCTCAATGATTGTTATTTGGTTGTAAATCATCAACCAGAATCAGTTTATCAAATTACTTTTAGTGTCAGAACTTTAATTCAGTTATTCAACCAGTTTGATAATCAATGTTATTAAATTTTCACTGTTATGCTTGGAAAACATTTATATCTATAATATTAATTAATTCCGTTATTTTATTATAATTCATTGAAAATGTTCACTGAATACAATGAATAAATTACAACATCACATCATTAGAATAACTTTTTTTATCCAATTTTATGTAAATCACCACCAATGGGAATTCATATAATTATTTGATTGCCAAAAGTTGATTGTATTGATTGTTACAGGTAAAATCTAAATGCAATTACCAGGGAAAAGATGAGCAATCCAATAGTTAGGAAAATCAGTTGATTGTTAGTACATTTCCGATAATTAATAGGACTAATTAACTACCGTTAATTGTGTCTCTTTGCTAATCGTTTCATAGACTATCATGAATTTCTTATCGATATCATGGTCTCTCAGAATTAGAACTTGAATAACTTTCTTAATTTTTGCTCCTCGTTTTCTTCAAGCCAATGGAAAGATACATTATCAGATCGAAACTCGTTCTGTAGAAATGTTCAACTGCCATTTACACGAATCTTTGGACCATCAATATGATTCGATCGATAAAAGTTATCACGATCTTTGATCATTTGGAAAAAAAGAAAAAGATTACATGGTTTAGACATAAATTAGAATTCGAAAGTAATTTCGTGATGAGTTATTGTACTAAGAAGATAAATTCTGGTTTCGCTCATTCCTATAATGTTATTAATCATAATTAGATGGAGATTGTGAGTTCTATTTGGATACCAAAACCTTAACCAAACCTTAGTCGAGAAAAAATTACCATCAACAAACAAATGAGATTCATGATGAATTTTCGTGTTACCTGGAAAATATTGATCTTCTTTATATTCAAATTGAATTTTAATGAACTTTTTTTATGGAGAAATAACTGTTTTCATCTAGGATTCAATTTGGGATGTGGAATAATGAATATCCTAAGTTGATGATTTGTGGAGATAATTGAAGATTAATTAAGATGGTTTATCTAATCTTATCTTCTTGCTAATGAGCAATTAAGATAAGCTCAGTTTTGAGGGAGAATTCGGGTAAAATAAAAAGAAAAGTTTTCAATGTTTGAACGACCGATAGATTGAGTGGACATTTGGCTCGAATCGCCGATAGTGTGATATTGGCTTACGAAAGATTAAAGGAAAAGAGGAAAAGAAAGTGATATAAGAATTTTAATTAATGTTTTTAGAAGATGAAAAAGAGAAGGAGATTTATGGTTCTTGGATCACCAAATGTGTGTCTTGAATTCAATATAATTCGTAATGTTTATCTTTTTTTTGTCTAATGAATGAAAGAAATAAGATGTATTAGAGAAAATAAAGATTAGGGAGATGATGAAAATGGAGATGAAGAGAAAGAAGAGAGAGAGAGAGAAGATGATGATGAAGATGATTAAATGTAGGAATAAAAGAAGAAAAAATAAGATGATAAAAAAGAAGAAGAAGAAGAAGAAAAAGTAGAAAAGAGGATGAATCATGAGAAACAGAGACTCTTACGGAAACATATCAATATTGATGATAAAATGTTCTTGACTAACCTAAGCTGAAACAGAACAATTTTGATTTATATATTAAGAATCCCCGGTGTTTGTCATGATTTATAGTTCTTATTTTGTTCATCATCATCCTCATCATCATCATCATCATCTTCTTCTTCATCCTCTTTACTCTTTCCCTCATTTCTATACTCTCTCTCTCTCTCTCTCTCTCTCTCTCTCTTTCATCTTGTGTTCATTTTTATCCTTTTCTGTTTCAACTTCATCATGATCATCAACATTCAATCATAGTATTAGTGTTATCTTGATGTCAGAATGTCCAAGAAAAAGAAGATGATAAAAGGGACGAACATGGTGATTCTGATTATTCTGATGATGGAAAGGAAGGAGAAAAAGAGGAAGATGAACAAGATGAATAAGATGAAGAAGAAAATAAGAAACAGAGAAAGAAAGAAAGAAAGAAAGAAAGAAAATGTTGTATTAAATGTTATATGAGAAAAGAGATTGATCCTAAATGCGCACTAAAGGAAAAAAAGATGAAGATGAAAATGATGAAGATAAGGATGAAACTGGAAAGATGTAAATGAATAACAAGTGAACCAACATTGAATAATGAACCAATCACAGTTTGTAGATGAAAAGTAAGAAAATAAAAGGCTATCAAGTGCTAAGCATGAAAAAATGATGATGATAAGAAAAGATGAGGATGAAAAGCAATGACATGTTATTCCGACTTGTACAAGTGAATGTAACAGCAAATTTACATTTACATTGACACAAAATATTAATGACCTTAAATTACCTTGTCGAGCTTATTACAAGTATGATTTAAGATAAAATGTCAAAGAAAAAAATTACACCAAGAACATGATATATTATTAAATACATAATACTCTTGGTAGAATGTTGTAAGAAAATTCACAAAAATAGCAATTTACCTTCTCCCATCATCATCATTATCTTCATCTTCACTTGTACTCTCTTAAAAGTCCATCAAAAAAGTAAAGATGAGAAAACAAGAAACTAATAGGAGCCGAGAAAGAAAAAAGAATAAAAAATTTCAATATTCTAATGAGTTTCCAATCATATCGATTGCATATAAATCACCTCGATTTCCAATCAAAAGGCCAATCTAACAATCACCTTTACTATTATCATTCTTATCATTCTTATCGTTTATTATGCCCTTTGGGTGGTAAAAGGGTTCAAGGTGATCTTCCTTATCCTCATCCTCATCATCATCATTATCATCATGACAATAAACCATAGCCAAAGGTAGAAAGGTCACTTTTTGACCATTTTGTCGGTCTCATTATCGGTAATTATTATAATGATTATTATGAGTATTATGATAGAGCTCATTTTTATCAGGTAGCTGAAAGATATCACTAAACAGGTAACATAATTTATCTGTTGTTTGCAAACAAAAGGTAAACCGATACCAATTATAATCGCAATATCTACCTGAGAAATACATAAATATAAATAATATTTAACGAGGTGAACCTTTTGACCAGCAAAAGGGTTTTAAAAGTTATTGTATTTAAGTTATAATGTTTATCCTATTACGCGCTC